TACTTTTATTGGTATAAAGCATTTTGGATGACATCAAAAGTAACAAGTAAGGAGAGTCTATATTAATTCAAAGTGAACAATATTATATTACTGTAGAAATTATGGAGAGGTTCGTTGTCCCGAATAACTACATTTAATTTAAGATCTAAATAATCCAACATTTTAGAAAGTTTGCTATTTTTATATGTATTTGTATTGGGTGATTGATGAAAAATATCCCCCAAACCATAGGATATATGAGAGGCAGATGGTGCCACCATGGCCATGACAACTTAGATATATATATATAATATGTCAAAGGACTACTCAAAATTAAAATTCCCAAAGTGGGAACATCACTTTCATTCTCACTGTTTTCTTCTTTTTATACACTTCAAAACTTGTATTATTTGCCACCCACAAACCCCCTCTTCAAGATAAGATTGCTCGTTTTAGGTGGGCCTTTTTCAATTCCTTTCCCCTTTTTTTTCCTTCCCTTTCATCCTCTTGTTTGATCCTTCTCGCCTTCTTTTGATGCAAGGCGAAATTTGAATCCATCTCCTTGATGTTGAAATTATAAGATTTTTGACACTTATTGTTAAAAACATCCCATTTATATGCATCTTTTAAGAAAATAAAAATGTTAATTAATTTCCATCTCATAGGTATAATTAACACGAGTAACGTTAACGAAAATGAGTATACTAATGAGAATGATTTTTGCAACTTGTAAGTACATTTCAAATCGGAAATAGAAAAGAGATTCCTAATTTTGAGAGCTTAAGATTCATTGATGAGATCCTATGTCCCTTCCAAAATTTATAGGCCCCACAATTTTATTTCATTCTCATCAAAATTGTTCATATCACAACGTCAATCAATAGTATTATTTTTATATATATAATTTTGATTTAAAAATAATTTTAGTAACCACAATATTTGAAATTGATTCCAATTCCATAGGACTTAAATGTACTAACAAAATGTTAATGTAAAATCGATAAAGCTTTGACAAGACAATCATGGGTACTAAAAAATGTTGTAGTACATCAACAAAATTTACTCTCATTTAAGAATAGAACGGACATTTACATAAATAACATAAAAGTAAATATTTATTTTTTAACAAAGTTTAACATTTTACAAAAATAGTATAATTTGAATCAAAGTCAGATATAAAACACATATATTAAAAAAGTCAATATTATACCCTACATAAAAAATAAAAATTTTGATATTTCAAAAAATACGTGAAATTTTCTCTAAATTGAAAATTTGTAGCTTCAAAAATGTTCTTTTTTAAGGTAGCTGAAAAAAAAAAATCCAGCGAGGTGTGACAAAAATATATTATTTAACTCAACTTTGATCAAAAGATGTATTAGTTGGTCCCGTTTTATCTCTTTGTAGGAATGGTCGGTGAGATGTTGATATTCTAAATATTAAAAAAATACAACGTGTTGAAACTTAGGATAAGTGTTCATTAATGTAAAATTTTTTAAGGTGCAAAATGATGATGATGGCTCTATAAAGTTAGGTAGAAGCGAGTGTGTATTGGTATAATAAGGTTCTATATAATAGAGCTATAGCCATAGGAATTAGGGTAGGATATATGATACGTGTTAAAATAATGTCAATTCCATAAATTTATTATGATTAAGGCATTGAAATTTAGAGCTTGTTTAATAATTATTATCACTCCTGTTTGTTGCTTTTATCAAGAGAGAAAATGTATGAATTACATAGGAGACGGATAAAAATGGGATCTTTTTAAATATATTGTAAATGTTATGATGAATGAGACTTCTATGCAAAATTAGAAAATAAAATAAGCATAATTGTGTGTTTTGAATATCAAAATATGATTTAAGAGTAAGATTAATGGTCCTATCCTACCCCTCGGCTTCTATCATTCATGCTCCCTTTTGTATGGTTAAGTTTAGTGTCGGTCTATACTAAACTGAACATATTTTTAATTGGTTAGCATACTTATTTTCTATTAAAAAAAAGTTACTATCCCTATGTTCTTACTTATTTATCATCATTTCATACAATATTTTAACAAAAATAAGAAACATAAATATTATCGAGTTCTGAAACGAAATAATCCAACTGAAATATAATCCTAAAAGGGATGGATTAATCAAATAAAAGAATAGAATTGTTGAATAAATGAGATAAAGACAGAAAACGAGTTGATGGAGATGGTAATTAGTTGAAGGGACGTATGATTTGGGAAGGCGAAGGGAGGCCTTTGGCATAGTCAACAAACTCAACAAATTATTGAGTTCTCACATCAATATTCTGCCTCTGCTATTTATTCTTAAATTTTCTGATTTAATCTTGAACGTTAATTAACAATCAAATGGTAATCAAAATTATTTTGATTTAATTATTTTATTTGGCTTTAAATATTAATTAAAGCCTTTTTTTTTTTTTGCCTTTTAAGAATGCAATTATTTAAATTGATAAGTTTCTTTGAAAGTAAACTGAAATAAAATAAATAAAAATATATTGCTCAAAACGTTAAAACTGATAATTTTTTTTAGTACACGTTAAAACTGATAATATACTTTTATATATAAAAAAAACTGATAATTAATATACATTAATTACAAAGCACTTTTTTTCATCTTATTATTATTATTTTTTATTATTTTTTCTGAGTACACATCTTACTATTTTTAGAATATGAATTATTATTTTATAAATTCAAACGTAGCAAAATCTTGTCTTTCAAGAAACGGGTTTTAATTTTAACAATAAGAATTGAAGCATTAGAAAAAGACAATTATACTAAATAACATCAAATAAATATATAATTTTGATTGGTCCCATGAATAAGTTTGTAATTTAAGTCATTTTTGTAAAAATTTAAACCTAATGTTATATATATCAAACATATTTCTTTTAGTTCTTCTTCATTTTTTTTTGTAATTCCCTCTTAAAAATAAGTTTCAAAATAAATATATATTTTTTAAGAATCACTAATTACACGTCTGCCATTATTTTTAAAAAATATTTCGGGTATTTAAAATTTTAAATCAAAATTATTTTATTCATTATTATTAATTGTTTTATAGTTTACCATTTATATGATATTTATAAAAGATCTACTCATAAAGTGTAATCCGGAGCATAACTCAACCGATTAAAACATGTATCTCTGATTTAAGTAACTCCCACGTATTGTACTAAAAGAAAAACTAATTTATAATAGTTGGGAAGGCTTATCAAATATATGATTATTTATCATTAAAAATAATGAAAGGAAAAAACAAAAGACAGGGAATGAACACAAAATCCACGAAAGTCTTCCCTAAATTTTTAACAATACATAAAAGCAAAATATTGTAATATTACGAAATTAGGGGGAAAAAAAGCCAAGGCGGCTTTTGTCCATACTTTGGAGCTCTTCCTCCACTATAACAAAATGCACTTTAACTAAAATATATTTGATTTAAGTGGCGATGGCGATCCCATTTTGTTGCTGATGAAATTATTTATTTCATCCGCAGACGAAACCTCAAAAAGTTTTGGGGGATAAAGAAATGTACCAAAGCCAAGCTGCCAAAACTGACCAACAAATAAAACCCAATGAAAGAGGAAAAGAATAAATATTTTTTTTTCTCTTTGTGGGTTGTATATTGCAAATTTGCATAGTTCATTCTTCTCATTAAAACAATGTCCCAACTACTATTAGAAATACAAGTCAAGGAGGAGGAGTAATTTGTGGGATTTCTTTCAATCATTCAATTTGACAAAATGGGGTGTCAATTCTGCTACATTTCATCACTACTAGTTTTTAAAAAGAAAAAAAATGAAAATCTTTTTAGTTGAATGTCATTCAAGTGAAAACGAAATAAAGATTATGGCTTTTGTAATATATATATATATATTTTATGGGACGCTCTCCGAAAAGCTACTCTTACCTAATAAAAGACTGATTTTTGGTCTTTATTGCGTGTGGGATGCTCTTATTTTTTGAATCAAATCAATTGTACGGTGTAACCGAGTTTTAGACGTCGATGTTTTTGGGCTTAATATTTCGGCCCAGATTAAGTCTTTGCTTTTTCGGCCCAATTTTAAAGAGACCGCCCCACTGGAGGAAAAAATATTTAAAAATTAAAAGGATTAAAATGGCGTCGCCCGGACTTGAACCGGAGACCTTCAGTGTGTTAGACTGACGTGATAACCAACTACACCACGACACCATTTGACATCATCATACAGTTTGTAATATTATTTATATTATAAATAATTTCAAAGAACAAAAAGGAACAAAAAGTAAAATTGGCGTCGCCCGGACTTGAACCGGAGACCTTCAGTGTGTTAGACTGATTTTATAACCAACCACACCACGACACCATTTGATGGCATAAGCCGATGTTTTAGTAATTTCTTTGACTAAGTTCAAAGATGAAATACTAATTGAAAAAAAAAAGAACAAAAAGTGAAAATTGGCGTCTCCTGGGATATGTGACGTGGATATTAAAAAAAATATCATAACAAAGAAGGTTTCTATTTTATTTATTAAGAAAAGAAAATAGGATAGAAGTTTATTAAATGTGGCTTTGCTGTACAAGAAGCTGGGGTAGCTCAGTTGGTTAGAGCGTGTGGCTGTTAACCACAAGGTCGAAGGTTCAAGTCCTTCTTCTAGCGTTTTACGATTTTTTCTTTTTTTATCAATTTCACCGTCTAGGCGTCTACCTCTTCCAGGCCCATTAACGCTACAAATTGGCCCAGACCCCTTTTCCTCCCATTTTCGTAATGTTTAGAAACAGAGAAAACCGCCGGTGACTCGACGATCCAAAATGGCGAGCAAACTTCTGACGAATCGGTTTCGGCACCTTTTGTTCTCATCAACAGCGAAGATCAGAGCATCCTCCTTTACTACTGCATCTTCTTCTCCCCCATTCCGGTGCAAATCTTCTTCTAAATCTTCACCGGCATCACCTTCTTCCGCCGGCATCGATTGCGCTACCGCTGCGGATATCGCCGATGTTCCTGAAGAAGGTTTTGAGGACCTGGTCGACGCCGTCTCTCCTGCTTCCACTGCTTCAGTTGCCAACACTATGATTCCTACTCTCCTCCAGCCTCGTGTCGTTGTCTATGACGGTGTCTGCCATCTCTGCCATCGCGGTACAATCTTTTTTCCTTTCTCTCTAATTCGCTCTGTTGTTTGATGTGAATGTATCATTGCCATACAGATTGTCATTTTCTTGAACATTTTGTCATTTTTTTGTATATCTTATATTTGAAACCACTCCGTCTTTTAGGTTTATGCCTTAACCCTCTTGACATCTTTACTTTCTTTGCTTCAATTACTTCATCCGTCTTTGTCTATACACTCTACGAACTGTTCGATGTATTGTGAATGCGTGAGTTAAACCCCGTCTTTAACACCTTGATCGAAGCCGCACTCCTCCATTTTGGTGTGTTATATGTAGTAATTTGTTTGAGAACGAAGCAAAGAAGTTTTATCCCACGTAATTAAATAAAATCCTCCCGTTCCTGCATTCTGTTCGTCAGGGTTCACTATCAATCTATTTGTGAAGTAATGATCGGAAGTTTTGTCCGTGTTGAATTACAGGTTACATAACTTTTAGTTTTCCACCTTGTTTTTATGCCATTTCACTTCCAGACTTTCAGCATGCAAAATTGTAGAGGCAGAATTACGGCATTCTGTTTTTATCCTCACTTAGTTGTGTTTTTATTTCTTGCAGGTGTGAAGTGGGTGATAAAAGCAGACAAATATAAGAAGATCAAATTTTGCTGCCTTCAGTCCAGAGCTGCTGAACCATATTTGAGACTAAGTGGTCTAGACAGAGAGGATATTAGCCGTCGCTTTTTGTTCGTCGAGGGCTACGGTTCATACTACCAAGCTTCTGCCGGTACTTAAAACCTCATTGATAGATAACCGTTATAAACTTCCATTGATGTCTTTGATCCTTCACCTGATGAGTTTCCTACTAAATGAAATGCCTTTCTTCTCAGAACTTTAAGAAATGAGATTGCGTTTTTCTATTTTCTGTAGATTGGCTTACTACTAATATAAGAAAACTTCAGTCAAACATATATTGTTAACATTTGAGCAAATTTTGGTTTTCAGCTGCTCTGAAGGTATTGTCGTATTTGCCTCTCCCGTATTCAGCTTTGAGCGCATTCTTGATAATTCCAACTCCTCTTAGAGACGCTGTGTATGACCATGTTGCTAGACATCGTTATGATTGGTTTGGAAAGGCTGAAGATTGCTTGGTTTTGCAGGAGGAAGATCTGCTTGAGCGTTTTATTGATAGGGAGGAACTGCTTGATCGACATCATCGGTATTGAATCTTGTCCATTACATTCTCTCTTATGGACATAGAAATTTGTAAATTTTAGATGTTACTGGATGAAGATGTTCCTGACCCCCACCTAAAGAAGTTAGTCCCTCCATTTTGTACTAAAGAACTTGATACGAATGAATGCGAACTTGATACGAATGAATGCATTTTAGAACTAACAGTTTGATAGAAAACTTCACTTGGATGGAAGCACTGGTTCCATGGTGAGTACTGTAATGACCAGCTCCCCGGGCAACATTCAAAATTCAAAATCTAGATACTTCAATTACTGCACTGATCAAACTATACAGATAAAACAATTCATATCAAAGATTCCCCACAAAGACACTGGCAATGTTTTCAGATTTCAAAGACTGCTCAAGCCTCCTCAAAATACACTATGGTAAAGTCTGTCCAGAGCCACAAACTTAGGGATTCAGTTAGAAAATGAAGAGTTTCTATTTGCTTTGTCCAAGTTGTAGCCTCATTGTTGTGGTACAAATCTGCACTCAGATGACTTGACAATCACTTTGGTAAAGAAGCAGAAGAAAGCAGCCATCTGAGCTCTCACAAAATTGGACTTAATAAACTCCATTCCATCTCAACAAAATGAATTCTGCAGACAAGTAGAAGGAGGACTTATCTTAGGTTCCATCATCACCAGTCCACTCGTTCCAGTCTTTATCAACATGATCTTGAGCCCATTTTACTGCAGCACGAGCAGCTTGCGGTCCTCCAGGTAATCCTCGTTCGTTTATGGTATCAGACATGTCGATGAAAGGTACGACCAACAAAGTCCCAGGGCCACCATACTCGGTGTGCATAAAGGTGTTGAATATCTGGTGAACACGATCAAGGCCATAGCCATAGGTTACGTTAAGAGATGTAGTTTATCAATCAAGGCAGAGGATCTGAAATGAAATACCTCGGTGCATATTCCGACGACCTCTGGAACCGAATCCCCGTACATATCCTTTTTAGAGAGCTTGTTGAGGAGATGGGCCCTGAATTTCTCCGTCTCCTGAAGAGAAATCGAAATCGAAAGCAGGAGGAGACATAGGCTTAAGAAAGTTTGAAAAGGAGTCGTAAATCATGGGAGTGTGGGAGGGGAACTTACAGCGACGGCAAATTCGGGAATTGGATCCGGAAATTTGTATTCGGCGGCCCTGCAAATGCGCTCTCCGGGCAGTGGATATGGAAGGTTGAGGGTAGGCGAGAGACGTGTACGGTGGAGAGGAGCAGAAGGATTGGGGAAGAAGCGTAGTGGAATGATGGAGGGTTTTAGCGTAACGAGAGAAGGAGGGAGATGGAGGGGAGGAGCTATAGTCCATATGGATGCCATTTCTATCTGCACGGGTTTAGCAAGGCCGAAGCTGAAGCCCAAGGGTTTATCAACGCAACACGCATCTTCTCTTTGCACCCACCACTTCGGATTACGAAACCGTACACCCACTCCCACGCCTCCACGTGGATGCAATGTCACAAATTACGTCATTCTCTACAAATGTTTTGTATTTATAAATATATCTTTATTTTTTTAAAAATTATATAAGTTTATAATTTATGCCATTTTTATAAAATTTTGGTAAAAAAACATGGTTTCTACCATTTTTCTAAAGTAACAATTTATTCTTTGATTTTTTATCACCAATTTAGTCTTTGAACTTATGGTGAAATTTTTTTTCAAATTTCTTATATACATATATATATGGATAAACTAAATAAGGATCCAAATTAAATTGTTATTGGATAAAATTTGACACTTAAATTGTTACGAATTTACGATGGGGATTAAATTGTTACGAATTTAAACTATGTCTGTTAATCTAAAATTTTGAACCTAATGTGTGTATATATATCCCTTTTGAGATATTTTTATAATTCCTTCTAATGTTTTTTTTTTTTTAATGGAGGGTTCTACTGAGGATTTTAAAATTTTACTAAATAAATGGTGTAGCCTAAAAACCATCTTAATTGAAGGAAAGAAAAAATTCAATAATTTTTTAAAGACGGTTTATATTGCCCAAAAGCAGATAATATAAATGTTATAAGGTAAATGATTGTTTTTTAACATTATGGACAAACACAAACGCTCCGGAAAGTTCACTTGTTTTGATATTTACATTTTACAGTCAAAGATTCCTTTGATGGGGTTCAAGCCATGGAAATCCAAGGAACTCAAAAACTTGTTTTTCTGTATCAAACTTCAAAGTTGCGCTTCCTCTTGCACCCTGTGCCACAATCACCAACAAAGAATTAGGGACAGCCTGCCCTGTATTTTAAGGCCATGTTCCTTCTAAACTCAGTAATAAGGCAATCGCAATTACCCTTTTACCACCAGATCCCTGAGTAGATGGATAAAGTCCAGTATCATCCAGCCTAAATCCTTTAGATTCTGCTAGCAATCTCAGCCTGCAGAGTGTAGTGTAAACCCAGTCTAAGTACCTTAAAAAAAAACATTTCATTCAACTGTCACAGAAGCATACATTTCAAACCTTATGTGATGTTTCTCCTTTCTTATCACAACCTCAAATTTCAGTCTCTCGTATTTATACGTTTACTCGATTCAAGCAGCAACTTCAAAGTCAACATATAGGTTTAGCTACAAATGGACATACCTTCTATTTAGTACGTCGTTTCCCGTCCACGCGATTAATCCAAATGCATATATGTCTCTTGGATACACCTACAAGAGTCCAAAATATAGTTCACATCACATCAGGAAGCATCCAGGCATGATTTTTTTAACCTCCACTTCATTCTTAACTGACATGAATTTGGTTTTGTTTAATCACAATTTCTCTAACAAACTATTTCAAAGTTAACATTCTATCCCAGAGGAGAAGTGGCCAAAGAAAGATCAGATTAGAAAAATGCACATAAAGAGGGTTTATGCCTTAAGATCGATTCGGTGCCGCAATTCTCTTCCCGGATATGTGCAAAGGCCAAAATATGTGTCGACACCAGAATCAGTTCCCTGTTCGTGGTTCCACAATGCCAATAAATGAAGGGATTTAGAAAAGCATATCATGGCATCTTGGAACCATAAAAAGTTTAAACAAAGGGGAAAGGGTAATATGACCTCCTCACTGTGCGTACTGAAGATCAGATCCTCCCTTAAAAACTTTATATCCTTTAAATGCTTTACATATCTTGGTAGAAAACCTCTATGGCTGGAATAACAGAGAAAACAACTTTCAAGAAACTATAAATAAAATGGATCAAATCAGGATCATTACAGTGAAATTGCAGGATAGTGGTCCCATCCAACTATGAACTACGAAGATAGTAGGTAGCATCATATTGACACACAACTGAAACAGGTATATCATTGTGACCTTGTGTTCACGGCGAGAAGATCAAATGCAAACAAGATTTTCCAAGAATGATCACAAATAAACTCCTCATTTGAGACTCACCAAATGAAGAAAGAAAAAAAAAGGAAAGAGGGAATGTTTGAAACCTTTTCCCATCAGGATGTGTGATTACAATGTCCATATCTCCACAGGAAGACTTCCCTCGCCGAAATGATCCTCCACACAGAATATCAACCTAAAATAAATACATAACTCATAGGTAAAATGTCAATGTAAGCACAAATTGTGTACAGTAGTGCTTTAATATGGTGCAACTGAAAGAAAACAAAAATAGCAAAAAACGATACACCATTCAAGTTATGGATTATAAAAAGCATTTACATACGAAATTACAAGCAAAATTACAATAACAGCCAATAACCATTTGTTTCTGGATTCACATTATAAGGGAGGTTTGCCTCTCACCCCTGGCAAAACATCTTCCCCAGCCTTCTTTAGAAGGCTCTCCATGTCTTGAACCTATCAAATCAGACAGATTCAGGAAATCTGAGAACACACTTTACCCATAAGATCAGCTAATATTGCAAAATCCAGAGGAAAGCAGTCGACCTCATTGCGTGGAATTCTCTGTTTAATGTCATCAAAATATTTCAACCCTATTTTCTGTGCATTGGTTAAGGATTCCTCCTTCTGCAGGTCATCCAGGGTCCTATATCCTTTCTCATATAATCTCAAAGCTGTGGCTGGGCCAATGCCCCACACTTCCCCAAAAAGTGAGATTGTCCGGACCTACAATGGTTAATAAGACAGAGGACATGTAAACAAGGGGTAAGAAAAATATGCACATTGATCATTACTGCCTACAAAGATAAACAAGCATATGCAAGTCAATGATATTCATCAGAATAGAAGATCTGAGGTTTTCTTAAAAACCTGCAAACACCTTTTCATCTGTTTCGAAGTGTTCCAATTTAGATAACTTTCCAGTTGTTACTATCTCTTGAATCTGCAGGAACAATGCAAAATCTTCTGATCAATCCGTAGGCATATACAAATTACAGTACATTTAGCGAGAACAAAGAATAGCAAAATCTTTGAGGGAGCATATTATTCAACCAGGGACATGTCCTGTCTCCCATGCTGAGATGGACTTCCTATGAAGTCCAGCAGAGGTGAAGTGATCTAAGTAAAGATCTCAGTTCCTGAAACAACCTAGCCAAATGTGGCCACCCCGAACATGACATGATTCAATGGGAAAGGATATTATGAAATGGCAGATTGATAGCAGGTAACTTGAGGCAAGGTACTATCTAAGTAAAAATATTGCTGAATTCCACACAAAGAAGGAAGAAAAGCATCATACAACATAATGCAATGCGTCTGTAGAGAAAGAAAATAGTTGGTCATTAGTAATTGGAACTATAGTTGTTGCACTCACATGATCCTGCAAGGACTTTCCTATAGCCGGCAGGTCTTTGACCTGGTGGATGCTCTCAATTTTGAAAGGTAGCTTCTCAATTACTGGAATGGCCTTGTAATAGCTAAATGACCTTCGTTCATCACCCAATGCTTTAATTTCAAATATAAGAAAACAAGCCATCAGAAACTCAAGTGTGGAAACAGAAGCAGCCAAGTAGTCTGAAGGACGTCACTCTCACCTCTGTATATGTTGATAAGTTTTCCAAATATCTCAGTTATGTTCTTATTCATATCTGGTGGACTGTACGACACAGATGTCTGCAAAATTTTTCCCTTGTTAGAACACAATAATTAATTCAGATGTGAGTAGTCTAAAAAGAGAACTGGAAATTACTTATGAATACTTCCATGGTCAAACCATATGTCTATAATTGAACATTCATAACTTGAACTGGTGAGCAAGTTCTAAATGACATATTACATCTGTGGAAGAAATAACATGTTGAAACTAAAACAGGACACAACACGTTTCAACATCAAACTGTGAATCAGTAGTTGAAGAAACTTACATTGCTCTTAATAGAATCAGAAGTCCTTGGACTAGTTACTGTTTGACCTATGCACAAGTTGGAGTCCTCAAGATCTATAGTAGTCATCGGAAGTGAAGTCGAAGACTTTGCATCTTCCCCACTTTCAGCACTCACTGCTTCCGAATTGTTGGGAGACAATTTGAGTCTTTTGGAAATAGATGGTTCGGTCTTATCTATTCCATCTTCTCCATCTAAACCCACTTTTACGTTGTACAAGTCCTCTGACACATTCTTCCCAGAACTTAAGCTGTCTTCTAGCCACTGGTATGAGAGAACCTTCTGAAAGTATGCAGTAATTAGCCTATTTCATAAACCTTAAATACCCCAGAGAGGAATATAAGTTTTTCTTGTATGCACTTCAAGAAAACCACTTTCTGAGTGCAGAATATCACATATTTTCAACGACGATGACCAGTAATCTAAAAATGTTAAGATGTCAATGACCATTCACAAGCGATCGCCGCATCAGTAGCATCAATTAATGCCTCAGCAAAAAGCAGGACTCACCCCTTTAAAGCGCGCCAAACGCTCACCGTCCACTTTTTGCCGAAGAGCGTCCGAGCTCGAAGCAAATACATGGCTGACCGTTTTCGACAAACGCTCCTCGATACTAGCACCCATTTGGACCAATTTCTGCTTCCAAATCTTCAACCACGGAACCAATACCCAAATAACCACTTAAAAATTCATCGCAATACAAAGTTGCAGAGAAAGATAATGAAATGTAAAACCTGCAATCGGCGGGCCTGCACTCCCTTTTCGACTAAGAAGACAACCATCCCAGCGAACATTCCCTGTGGGTCCTGAGAAACATTTTGGCTCTTGCTTCGTTTTGGCGCCATTAAAGCTTCTTCTGCAAGAGACTGTGCTCTTGATTATAAAACCGAAACAACTAGAGAAAATTTTCCATTTTCTTACTATGACTGACAAGACACGTGTCCAAGAGCGCGACGATGATTCGTGGATCAGTTCACAGGTGTCCTAATGGGCCCCAGACACGTCCAGTAGACCGTCTGATTAGACCCAATCTCGTCTTCCTGCTTAACATCATTGCTGTGAAACCCAAGGTTTTTCCCTTAAACCCTAAAACCCTAGAATTAAATTTCCTGTCTTTAGCATTTCGCAGGATAAAGAAGATAGGGATAACATAACTGAATACAGACAGCAGGTAAGTAAGCATTTTTTTCGGTTCAATCCGATTACAGAACCAATGCTTCTGTATCGTTCTGCTTCGGCGCTCCATTTAGAGAGACTAGCGCTACCGTCTAAGTTGCTTTTCTCATTCAAAAATTATAACTCCTTGGTCTCTACTTCATGTTCCATCCGAATTGGGTTGGTTTCTTTGAGACAACGGTGCTCTGAAAAATCGAGGGCTGCTGGAACTGTTGCTGCTTCTACTGCATCAACTGCTGCTGAGGGAACTGGAAGGGATACTTTTTTTGCGGCAGAAGGTGTTTCTTGGACGTCACTTGGTGTCTCTGATAATGTTTCTCGAGCTCTTGTTAGTTCTGGAATCCAGATGCCATCTTTGATTCAGGTACCCGAACCTGTTCCTGTCGAGAAAATTAGAATTTCAGCAAAATTTGGTCTATTGGGTTCACTGTGATTATCGGATAGCTAGCACTTGTTATAGAATTGGATTTGTTTCAATGGGATTGAATCCATTCTCCCTCTTGTTCACCCTTCACTGTGTTCTTTTGGTTGTCCTGAAAACAAAAAAACAAATATTGGAAATCACTGAAATGTATGAGAAAATAACTTAGTCTCTTAAGTACATTTAAGATCTATACTGTGTCAATGGAAGTTACTGCAACTGTTTTTATTGTTCTCTACTTTATATCACTTCTGACGTTTTCTTGTTCCATTTAGGCTGCTTGCGTTCCCTCTATAATGTCAGGAAACGATGTGGTCATTGCAGCTGAAACTGGTAGCGGAAAAACACATGGTTATCTGGTACCTCTAATCAATAGGATATGCAGTGAACATGGTGATAACAAGTTGACTGGTAGCGACCAAGACTTGGCTTCGTTTAATAAGCTTTCTCTTGTTCTTTGTCCAAATGTAATGTTGTGTGAGCAAGTGGTTCAAATGGCTAATACGCTTTGCGACGAACATGGAAAATCGCTTCTCAGAGTTACAGCTGTCTGTGGCAGACAGGTAAAAAATATTGTTCAAGATAATGTATGACTGATCTAAATTTAGTTATACAAGCCTAGTGATTCACTTTCTTAAGGAATGTGAATGCATCTTACTACTTTGACCATGGTGATAAGTATCTATCTTGACTGTGAAATGTGATAACAGGGTTGGCCAATTCATGAGCCAGATATTATTGTATCGACTCCAGCGGCTCTTCTCAATTATATTGAACCAAACAGGAGTCGTCGTTTGGATTTTCTTCGCGCTGTGAAGCACGTGGTATATTTCTCTCATTTCAATCTTAAAAGTATTTTTTAAGTTGCATGATGTAATTTTTTATTCACTTGCTCCATTTGACACTGCTGCAGGTTTTTGATGAAGCAGATATGCTTCTTGTTGGCAGCTTCCAGAATAAGGTCATCCGTCTGATAAACTTGCTCCGGTTTGAAGAAAAACTATTGTCTCGCTCAAAAGAATCTCCAAAGAGGCTCGTGGAATTAGAAGCTGACCCTTCATCAGAGCTTATTTTACAGGATGAGAATGACTTGCAAACTGAAACCATCTCTGAGGGGGAAGAGGATGGGGAAGGGGAAGAAAGTTATGAGGAAGATGTTGATTCCAACGACATACAGGAGCAAACCGAAAGTGTGTCTGGGAGAGTAAAAGACTGGAGAAGAGTGCGAAAATTTTATGAGCGTAGTAAACAATACATTTTTGTTGCTGCAACTCTTCCTGTGAATGGGAAAAAGACTGCCGGTGCAGTGCTGCGAAAAATGTTCCCAGATGCTAGCTGGGTTAGTGGGAAATACCTACACTGCCACAGTCCCAGGTACTGCCCAAGTCTGGTCGTGATCACATGTGAAATTCATAGGGTTTTTTCTCAAAGGGCTATATATAACTGTGTGAATCACAATTTCTGTGCTCTAGCAGATCCTTTTTCTCAGTTAATTAAAGTTTCACTGTCCTTCCTATAAAAAATTTAAAATGGTCATGTATAAGCTGACTACCTGAGACGATGAGTTAACACTTGGGTAGCTTGGAATGCTTTGATATAGTGCCAGTTCAGAAGTCCTGTCCAAGCTATACTGTATAACTATAACCTTCTTTCTTTGTTCTTGGGTTTTTGAAATTATTTGTATGCTTTTACAAACTTCACTAAAAGTTTTCCTTTTTGCCATTTTTGCAATTGGCTGCATATTAAGGTGAATAATTTACTCTCTATATTCTAGTTTAGATTGGAGCAGAGGTGGGTTGAAGTGTCACTTGATAATCAGGTAGATGAACTCATCAAGGCCGTGAATCAACCTAAATCAAAACAGAGGAATCCTGATGGTGGTGCCATCCGAACTATGGTGTTTGCAAACACAGTTGAAACCGTCGAAGCAGTGGACAATGTATTGCTGAGGGCCGGTATCGAATGTTTCCGTTACCACAAGGACCGCAGTTTGGAGGAGCGCTCAAAGATCTTAGCTGATTTCAGAGAGAAAGGTGGTGTATTTGTTTGCACTGATGCTGCAGCCAGAGGTGTGGATATTCCAAACGTATCCCATGTCATTCAGGTGCTTCTCTTTTAATAAATATTTTCATCTGATGCCTATAGCATCTCCGGATCTATGATTTGGGATTCAAGAATGAACTAAAGGATTCATGTAATACCAAAATTAGTGGGTTGCTGTTTTGATTATTTTACAATGACAAATACTTTGCACAGTATGGCCTTACGACTCTAGATTTTTTTTTTCCCTTTTTCAGGCGGACTTTGCAACTTCTGCGGTAGATTTTCTACATAGGATTGGTAGAACTGGTAGAGCTGGTCAATATGGACTTGTCACTAGCCTGTACACTAAAGCTAACCGCGATCTCGTTGCTGCAGTTCGCCGAGCAGAAAACTTGTCTCAACCCGTGGTAATTGTCAGACTGACTACTACTTCTCACTCTGATAATAACCTCCTTCTCTACGACTCTACCTTTAACGCCTCGAGCAGAGATGCTATTCAACTTAACTTTTCCAATACAACCAGAGGACATAATATCATTGTCTTCCAGTCCCAGACCATATCTACATAGAATTTGCTTCACTTTACTAGTTACTAGTCACTTCTCACTGCTGCTATATTGGTTCCTTTATGGATCCAATTCCTTGAATTTTCTTCAGTGGTCAAGTTTTAACTTCTCTTCGTTATCTTTTTCGGTGCAGGAGGCAGCATTTAGCAGGAAACGGAGCTTCCGAAACAAGCTTAAAAAACAAGGTAAGTTTGATCTCTACTAGCCACAATCTGAAAATATATGATAGTAGAAAGAACTCCAGGGTGAATGTAGAAAACACTGAATTCCCATTGAGTGATTATGGAAGCTGATATATATATATATCTATCATACTTTTGCAGGTTCTGCAAAAGAGAGCGCTCTGGCATGAACAGCAGAGAAATAATAATATGGTTCTTATTTTGTATAGATGACAAATGGTCTAAACAATGAAAACGAAAGAGACTTTTAATCTTTATAGATTATTTATATTGCATCCAAAGTTAAATTTTTAATTGCGGGGATTAGAGTATGATGATTATGAATGTACATTCTCATGGTTAAATTTTAGCTTCATTTTTTGGGAGAAAAAATAATTCAGAATGTGTTATTTGGAAAAATATTTATACTGAAACTCTCCAAATGGCTAATAGATTAAATGTGAGACTGTCATAAGAGTCGTTAAATTTTGGGAATTTCTTGCTTCAACAAAATGCTAAAGGAATGCCTAAAAATATATTTACTAACTTCTATATATAAATATATCCAGCATTACTATTTGCAGGGGAAAGATAAATGATATATCAATGGCTTTTAATTTCATCTCCATAATTAAAAAGAAAAAAAAAACCTCATTTCTCGAGGAAATAAAGTTTGAAAAGACTGGTGATATATTTACATTTGGGAGTTTTCGATAAA